CCCCCAAAACCCCAAAACCCCAAAACCCCATGACAATATTTAAGAAGTGAAATTAATAAATTATATAAAAATACAATTAATGGCAACCCAAAGGTGCCAAGACACTACCTGCAGAGACCAAGTAGAGGTCTATGTTGAGCAAGTAGATCAATGCTACTGAGCTTCATGTGCTGGGCTGTTGCATAGCAGTAAGACTCATGTGCATATACCGAATCCTAAAGCGAGTTATTCCTGTATCGAGCAAGGTAAGCACCCATCTTTTGAGACTTTTAATGATTTAGGATATCATATAGTGAAAAAAGTTAATGAAATGACGAAGGCAAAGAAACTAAACAAGGTATGGGCTAAGTTCTTACCTGAGCTTACAGAGTTTGAAGCTGAGTTGAAAGAGCTCAGAGGTAGGATACCCTAGTTTGATTATTTAGAGAGGTATTATGAAATCACTGAGAACAGAACTCTGATAGAGCTCCCTTCGCTCCAAAAAAATTGCTTTGATTTCATAACTAAACTTTATGAGTCTGAAGCTTTGCAGTCTTACTTGAGAGAACACATGGTTCTTAGCATGAAGCTTGATAAAGATCAAATTGAATGCTCTTCAAATAGAAAGAGTGAAGACCAAAGAAAAACTGAGATGCTGAGTTTAGTTGATAAAGCTAGCCAACTAAATCAAGAAACGAATCTTCAAAATCAAGAACCTATTCAGCAAATTAGCGAGGCCCACCCTCCACCTCTTGCTGAACAACAAAATTCATCAGAAATGAAAGATAAGCTCGACGCCATTGCAATTTCCCTTGAAGAAATAAAGAACAAAGACAATCAAGTCATTATTCAAGAAGAGAGAAAGCATATGGACGATGATTCTTCTGGAGAACTTGAAGAAATGAAATATGAAATTGAATCTCTCTCACAAAAACTTCAAACTCAGAACCAAATACCCACTCACGAGTCCTTCAATGAGCTCTACCAGAAAATAACAGGAACTACAGGAACAACATTCAATAGCGGATCTAATCTTAAACTCGATCTCTCTAATACAACATCTCAAACTCTCATAAGATGTCTCCAATTCTACAAACTACCTGAGCTGCACAATGTTGAAATCCTAAACATACACCAATTCAACCAACCCGAAGTCATCTCCAACTTCATGAAGAACGCAATCCATCCCAAAATAAAAAACTTCCACCTATACTTCACTACCACCACAGAGAAAAGCTTCAGTAAAAACTTCAGCCCCAACTACTACGAAGCTCTTAAACAAGTTGCTTCTGTTATTCCTCAATTCATTTACATCAACAACTTCACTCTCAGCCAGACTGAGTACCAAGACTTGCTTGTGGCTGCCAAGAAGTGTAAACGGTTTTATACTAATTACTGCTATGTTGAGTTTAAGGAAGAGTGCAAGTTTGGAAATAGGTTGGATGATGCTGAGTTTGTGGATTTGAGTTTATATGAAACTGGAGGTGATAAGTATGGAAAGTGGAAGCAAGAAGGGTTTGGGCAGTTTAAGAATTTTATTACAGGGTTAGCGAAAGTTCAGTATGTTAAAGATACCCAGATTAATATTTATCTTGATAATTGTGGAATGACAAAAGCTGAAGCAAGACAAATGCTTGATAGTGTTGGGCTCAAGAATATGATCCCTCAAGGTGTTTCATAGGGTGTTTCTAAAATTTCAATTCAAGTAATTCTGTCTTGTTTACATATTGAAAAGAGAATACTTTTCTGATTGTCTTTTAAATTCTTTTCGAGAGGATAATCGACTGTCAAAAGCGTAAAATGTCAATGCATTCTGGAATAGAAACTAGGAAACTTCTAAATGTATTTGAGTTTATTAGAATTAATTAGTGTCACTAAAACTGATTTAAAAACCGAGTAAGTGACACTAAGATACCCATGTTGTATCTTTACTTGACATCTTTTAGAGTTATTTAGTTTTAATTTTTATCTTCGCATAGTTCCAATTCATCAAAAATATTATGGGGTTTTGGGGTTTTGGGGTTTTGGGGTTTTGGGG